ATTATGGTGATGGTGGGCATTATTCTTGATATTAATCTAATTCTTGATATTAATTAAAATGCTTTTAGTATTTTGTCATTTAGGCAAAATTTTCTCTTGGTTTCTGGGAAAGTCTTCATTATGTTTTAAGGATTTCTATTCCTACTTTTTGGATTTAAAAAAAAATAAGTATGTATTCAATTAGATGACTTTTTTTTCAGCATTTATTGAAAACATCATAGATTTTTTATCTGTTTTGTATTACAAAGAATGTTGACTGGTTTCTGAGAGTGAACCATCATTGTATCCAGGATATATGTTCCCTGCAGTTAGATACAGTGCTGGACTCTATTTTTAATACCATTTTAGAATTTTGCATTTGTATTCATAAGATAGATTATAATTGTATGTGTTGTACTATTTTTAGTCCTATTTATAACTACAATTATACTGGCTATTTAAAACAAACCAAGGAGTTGTGTATCTCCCCTACTATGGTCTAGGATAGTTGAAATACTATTACAATTTTATTTGAAGGTTTGACACAATGCAGCTGCACGCTTTTCTATGGCTGATCTTCTAAAAATACCTTTTCTGTAGTACTTGTTCTATTTCAGGTTTCCTTTTTCTTAGGTCAGTTTGTTTTTTTCCCCCCATTTTTCAAGCAATCATCCACTTCTTCTAGGTCTTAATCTTTGCTGTTCCAGAGTTGCAATGTATTCTTTACCAATGACTTTCATCCTCCTGTATCTGCAGTTATACTCTTTTCTCATTCCTTATTTTGTTCTTTCTTTTCCTTTCTTGGGCTTGTGAAGGATTGATCTGTTTCTCTCTTTGGTCTTGTTTTGTTTCTATTAATATCCGTCTTTTTATTAATTCCTTCTATCAGCCACTTTCTTCTTTTCCTAATTCCTTAACACAAATACTTCCTTTGCAGGCTTTTGAGACATGATAGTCCTTGTGTACGGCTTTCTCTGTATCCTGTAGGTTTCGATGTGAAATGCCCTTTTTCATTGCTTTTGAGAGCTTGTCATTTCCCTTATTTTCTTTTTGATCCAATAGCTATACAAGAGTAGTTCCTTGTTAGGTCATATTTTAATTATTTCTAATTATCAGATAATGTAGCCTATAACAACTACTTTGCCAAATTTTGTTAGTTTTCTTTGTGATTACTGATAAACACTTGTGAAAATATTTGGCGGATGAAAGGTTTTCTATTTACTTATTCAACCAAGTTCCTTATTTACTTTTCCCATGTCATTATTTTTGTCTCCTTGGTTTGTTCAATTTGAGTGCATTTGAAATCAAAGGTTTCCTTACATTTTAATCACTTTTGTTTTACGTATTTAGTTGTTGATGTTGTTTGGTATCTATAGGCTGTTCATCACATAATCTCTCTCCTTAGCTGTTTTGGTGCTTTTCCCCTTAAGTACCCCCTTTACCCCCTTGATGTTAATATTGCCCCTCAATCTTTTTGCTCACTTGTCATCACTATTCCCACCCCTGTAAATTCAACTTTTCATATCACCTTATTTTGTACATGTTATAGTTTTCTTTCTTTTTTGTAGAAACTTGGTCTGATCATCTCTGCTTTTAATAGGAGAACTCAGTTTGTCATGCTAGGAATAATGAGGTTGTCACTTCTCAACTATTACTTTCAAGCAACATTCTCTATCCTCTCATCTCAATAAGATGGCATTTTTGAGAATTTTTAATGAAATAAATTACATTTAGTTACAGCCTGGCATCAAGATTTCCAGTGTGTCTAAATGTACTCATTTAGCACTTAATGCATTTCTCTTCTACCTTGGAATTCTAGACTTTCCTCTCTAGATTCATTACTTAAAACTCTCTCTTCTTTACCTTTCTTTGTCTTGACATCTCTGCTCTGGGTCATCTGGTGCTTCTCCCATGTCTTACATATGTCGTTCAGATGGAGCACAAGAGTGATATGCTTACATCTTTCTTTTTTACTGGCAGGTAAATGCTCTCTTGGCCGGGCATGGGACGCCCAGGTGTCAGCCCTTTTGTCTTCGCAGCATGTTCCCTGGTTCTCCAGTTACTGCTGCCCATGAGAAGTCTGATGCCAATCCGATTTTTTCTTCTGCCGATAACTTACTTTTTGTGCCTTGAAACTGATAAGATTTTCCCTTTATTCTTGGAGTCAAAGGATTTTACCAAGAAGGGCAGAGATGTGTACCGCTCATCATTCTACCAGGAATTCATGGATAGCTTTCCATCTACGGGATTACATTTTTCAACTTGGAAATTTTATTCCATATTTATTTTATGTTGACTTCATTTCAACCATTTCCTTTTCTCTTTCTAAACTTAAACTGGCTTCTGAGACCTTAAGTCTCAGTGATTTGAGAGATTCTTGTTGTTTACCTTTCAGGCGGCTATTTTGGATCTCAGTAGAAACCATGCATTATTCCAACTCATCTGCTGCAGTTTTTAATTAGAAAATCACTTTTGTTCATTTTTTAGTTCCAGAAAAATCTTTTTTTGGTGGCTTCTCCCCTTAATTTCCTTAAGTGCTTTCTTAAAGCTGCCAGAGGGACTGATAGAAAACACTATTTCTCTGGGCTTGTGCTCTGTTCCCAGTGACCTTTATTCCGGCTCCTCGGCCTTCTAATGGGTTACTGTGTTTTGTCAGCTCACTGAGGCCCAGGTTGATGGTATCCATCGAGTGACAACAGTCCTGGTTTATAGGAGGTGAACTAGTGTCTTTCCTCTGTCCCAGCAGTGCAGTGGTATGCAGGCAGGTGGCCAGCCCCTGGGAGGAAGCTTCTGTCACCTGGCTGTCCCTGGCCTCTTATCAGCCTTGGGAACAGGGTGAACGTGGCTGTATCTGCAGCCCTTCTCGGGTTGGGTACTGAGAGTGAATGAAACCCTAATATCTCAAAGTATCCATTGTATAGAATGAATTAACTTCTGTGCATCTAGAATGGTCCAATGCACCATCTTTGGGAGAATTGAGAAAATAGGCACTCAAATCACCTTTTGTGGGGCTTATTTGCTCCCACATCCTGGATGAGAAGGGCCGAGCCAGGCACATTCAGCACAGGGGTGGTGTTGACCTTCCCTGGCTGGTGGAGGGAGGAACTCTGTAGGTCTCCCGGGCCCAAGCTCTTCCCATGAGGCCATCCAGGGCAGTGGCTGAAAGGTGTGGCCGGCAGACCTACACTGCCCGGGTTGCACAGCTGCCAATCATTTAACTTTCCCTGCCCTAGGGCACTGTCAGCCCTCAGTGAACGTGCTTCTGTTACGGACACAGTTGCTGGTGTTGCGCTTCCTTCTTCTTCCTGTGGGCCAGCATCTGGAGCTCACTTTGATGCTATCCTCCCCGAACCCCAGATGAGGAAAGCCCTGTCTCCCTTCTCACTGCCTGGACTCCAGGGCCTCGCTTCTGTTTGGTCCCAGGAGCCACATTCTGGTTGCCATCAGAATCCTGTCTGTCACCAGTATTACTAACAGCAGGCCTGGCTGAAGCTGCCTGTTAATTGCTTGTGAGGGGCACTAGCCTGAGGCTGTCTCCTTCTCTCTCCTTGAGCCGTTTTGGACATATTTGGATAACTGTGATCAGCTGCCTGTGGAAGCAGGAGACCTCTATTAGAAAGGGGTGTGTGTGTTTCAGCTTGCTTCCATGTGCTCAACATACCTGGAGGCTTGGTTGGGACTTGTGCACATCCCCCCAGCTCAGCACCCACACTTGATCATGTGACTTGTCGTAGGACAGCTTAGCTGGCAGAGGGTCCACACCTATGGACTTGAAAAGACAAATAGGGGCAAGTTGGTCAACATTGTTGTAGGAGCTGACACAATGGTCATTTCTGGGCTTTGTGTATGGGGCCATCACTCCTGGGTGAGTGGAACTCCAGCCTTGGCAATGAGAAGCCAGGGTAGAGGCCTCCCTTCTGGGTTCATCTTCATAGACACAAAATTGTCGATAATGTTCTCCCTTTTAAAAGCTGCTTGTGTTTTTTACTTATGGTAGCCAGACCATCTTGGCAAAAGCCTAAACACAGAGGCATTAAGTTTTCCACTCAAGAACTGTCTGTCAAATCCTTCCACTCCTCCTGGAAGCCTTCTGGGCTTCTCAGATGCTCAGCACACTTCCCCAGGCTGCTTCACCACCAAGATTCTGGTGAGGTGGCCCTTCCCCTGGGCCACCTGAGGCTGACTTTCAGTTCATCCATTAGCACCTGTCTCTTATTTTTGCATACCTTCTGTCTTACAAATCCTTCAACTCAAGCCTCTGGGACTCAGCCTATAGCATTGGGAAGCATTTTTTTTTACTGCTGTAACCAAAACTGCTCTGCCCTGAGCACAGAGCTTCCCCTGAGGCCTTGTCAAATGGAGACTTTTAAGTGCCCAAACTGTTCCATGATGCTCATGTGAGCAGACCGTGACCCTCCTCTCATCACTGGCCAGTGTCCCTTTGTTCACTGAAGATGTTAACACCTGGTTCTCTGTCTTCTCTTTCACCTGTTTCCCAAGTGTGGTGCTTTCAAATCCACCCGGATGACTCATCCACAGCCCTGCTTTCTCAGCACCTTCTTGGTTGCAGCGATCTTTTGCGCCTCTCCACCTCAGCTACTCTAACTTACACTTTGTATAATTTCTGAAGTTTCCATTTCAACCAACTGTATCCTAACCATTTCGATCTGGGTAAAAGAAATCCCATCCTCTCTGCCCTCATGTGTCAAAACTCTAAAGAACTGTCTATGGAGTCCTTGTATCCACCTCTCAACTGAACTGTTCTAGACTTTCATGTCAGATTTAGAAATTGCTTTGAGATCCTTCTCTTACTTGAAAGTTCAGCAAGACTCCACATGGCTAACCACTCTCTTCTGGAAACATTTTCTTCACTTGGCATTGTACCTCAGTTTCGCTTCCTCATCCTGATTCTAAATGTTGGCATGTTCCCAGGTCTTCACCTTTGACCTCTCTATGTCCTTTCTCTGGTGGGCTCATTGAATGCCAGGGCTTCAGAGAACCTGCTAAACTCTGACTTTAGAATCCACTCCTCTACTGATGACCTCAACTTAACATACATAAAACTGGAGTCTTGATTTTGCCACTCCCTGCTGAAATACATTTCTTCTCCATTCATCACCATCTTTGAAGTAACCTTTTACTTTTTGCTCGAATTGAAACCTCCTGTCCCCTGAAGCCTCAAATCAAGGCTTTTCTATACTTCACATACCCCAGGGCCTTTGTTCATGCCTTTAGCTATTCCTCATTCCTATCATCTGCCAACTTCCTGGCTGCTGCTCTTCACCTAAAGGCTTCAGAACCTGGCTTCCTAACCCGTCAGTATAACCCGTCAGTAATGATACCATCTTGACACTACCTCTAGTTTCTTATATACCTTTTTGACTACACATTATCTTGCAGCTACCCCATTTGTCTGCCTTCTTCACAGCAATACTTCCTGAAAGTTTGGACTGTAGCCATTCTCCTTTCTCTTGAACTGTTTTCCATCGTATTTATTTCAGATTCTCATTCTAAGGTGGTGTGGAGCAGGGGACTGCAAAAAATCTCATAAATTCAGAGTTCTCTACAAACTCAATATGCTGAGGAAGAGAAGAGGTCGTCAAGAACACACCAGGCTGTCAGTTAAAAGCTTTGAAGGGCTTTCCCTTGGGACAGTCTAAGTGTTACAAAAGCTTCAACTCAGCCTTAATTCAACTTAACACTTGAGTATCTTAAAGTGATTGAGTTTCCACCTAGAAGCAGAAAGGATTAACCCTCTTTGTGGAAGAGAGCCATCTAAAATCTCCACAAAAAATTTTTTTGGTTTTATTTATTTATTTAGTTTTTTATTTGTTAAGGTATCACTGATATACAATCTTGTGAAGGTTTCAGGTGAGCAACATTGTGGTTACTACATTCACCCTTATTATCAAGTCCCCCACCCCAAGTGCAGTCACTGTCCATCAGCGTAGTAAGATGCTACTAGAGTCACTACTTGTCTTCTCTGTGCTATACTGCCTTCCCTGTGCCCCCCCTACATTATGTGTGCTGATCATAATACCCCTCAATCTCCTTCTCCCACTCTCCCCACCAACCCTCCCCTCCCGCACCTTCCTTTGGTAACCGGTAATCCCTTGGAGTCTGTGAGTCTGCTGCTACTTTGTTCCTTCAGTTTTGCTTTGCTGTTATACTCCACAGATGAGGGAAATCATTTGGTACTAGTCTTTCTCCACCTGGCTTATTTCACTGAGCATAATACCCTCTAGCTCCACTCATGTTGTTGCAAATGGTAGTATTTGTTTTCTTCTTATGGCTGAATAATATTCCATTGTGTATATGTACCACATCTTCTTTATCCACTCATCTACTGATGGACACTTAGGTTGCTTCCATTTCTTGGCTATTGTAAATAGTGTTGTGATTAACATACGGTTGCATATGTCTTTTAGAATCTGAATCTCCACAGTATTTTATATGAAACATTTGGTATTCAAAAAAATTATTAGGCATTCTAAGATACAGGCTATGTGAATGAAAATCACATAAAAAAGGCAATAGAAAGAGACATATAGGTGAGCTATAAAAAGATAATTTATAAATATAAAAAAGAATTTGAAATTCTAAAGATGAAAATGCAATACCTGAGATTAAGAACTCAGTAGATTTTGTTAAATCCATATTAGCTGAAGATAGGATTAGTGAACTGAAAGACAAGTTCATTAGTAGACCTTTCCATTATGTCCCATATTTCTCTTTGTGCTTCAATTCTGGTATTTTTTTTTTAAACCACAACAAAGATAAGGCAAGAGAAAATGAGGCAGAAGAATATTTGAAGAAATAATGGCTGAGAATTTTCCAATCTGATGAAAGATTTCAGTTGATGTATTTACATTCAAGAACCTCTGAAAATCCAAGGCAGAATAAATACAAAGCACACCATGCCTGGGCACTTCATAATAAAACTGCTGAAGACCAAAGAGAAAAATGTTAAAAGTAGAAAAAGATACAATACATTATCTTCAAAAGAGAAAGAATATAATTGTCAATGTGGAAATATTAAGAGCAAAGTTATTTTCAAGCAAAAATAGAATTTGTTGCCAGCAGACCTGCATAAAAGAACCTACTGAAGAAACTTTAAGGCAGAATGACAGCCCCAGACTGAATCTGTATACTTCAGGAAGGAGCAAAGAGCAATGGGAAAGGTAAATAGCTGGGTGAAAATAAATGATGATTGGCTGTACAAAATAATGTCATATCTTGTGGAGTAAAATTATATGTAGAGTTAAAATTCATTCCCACAATAGTGCAAAAGACAGAGGAAGTTTAAAGAGTTAGTGTTCTAAGCTCCTATCATGATTGGGTAAGTGAAATAATTTGTATGAGGCTATATTGAGGCAGGGATGCATACTGTGATTGCTGTAGTGGTGGTCATACAACAATAACATAAAAAGATGCATTGGCATTTCCTTTGATCAAAGGATTGGAATTATTCAGATTATGTTCTTTGGCCAGAGAAATCAATAGTAAAGTCTCCTGTTGTATTTTCCAGGAGAAACTACAACCCCAGTTATATCCAACTTTCTCCCTATAGTGAGCCTGTACTGATTTCACTTTAAATTGACATCCACAATCACTATTGCCTTTTTTTTAAGCATTTCACAGTATTTACTGTAACCTAATCTGATATAAAAATATCTAATTTCCTCTGGATAATCAAATCTCCCAAATACCAAACCTGAGGAAGGCAGAGGGAGCTTGGGGGCAAGGGGAGAGAGTGGCTACTATGCATGGCATTCAAGGACCCCAAGGCCTCAGTCATACTGCCCAGCAGTCCCATCACATTTTCCCTCTCAATTCAATTTCACAGGAACTTTCACCTCCCTCCTCAAACCTCCAGCTTTGGTGATAGTTTCCCTTCTAATTTCAGTAAAGAAACCAGAAAAGACATTCATCCAACTACCACCAACTGTACCTATTTGTGATTGTGCCTAAACACTTTCCGTCTCCTCCTGTCATGGTGCAAGAATTTGCGTTTATATAAGGTAGCATCTCCACTTGTATGCCACTGATGCCACTGACTCTTGCCTGCCTCGATGACCCAGAAGAATGGGACGATTTGTGGTAGCTGTTCTTCCATTGGCATACAAATGATGCGATGTCACCTGTTCTGAAAAATTTCTTTGGCATCTTCTTCCAAGTTGCTACACTGCTACTTTTATTCATTTACAGCAAAACCCCTCAAAACAGTTGTCTATACTCACCATCTCCACTTCCTCTCCTGCCATTCTAACTTGGATCCACTCCCTCAGGCCTGTATTGGACCATTATCATACTATCTGTTCCTGCCAAGGTGATCCCTGTGTACCAACTCCAACAACCAGTTCTTAGTTTTCATTAACACAGATGCTCTCTGCGTTGGCTACCAACCTTCCCTGGAAATACCCTCTTTCCTCGGCTTCTGGAATACCACTCTCCTGATTTTCTTCCTGCCTTCAGACTACTCTTAGTCTCCCCTTCCTGATCTTTAGGTGTTGGGAGTGCTTCACGGCCCCAGCCTTGACCTCTGTATTACCTTCAGTGATTTCATCCACTCCTCTGGATTAGACAGTTCATGTGATGATAATACCCATATTGACATCTCTGGCCTGGACCTCTGCTTTGACCCCAGACCTGTTTATCCAACTGCCTGGCAATACACATTCTATATGTAGATATAATAGCAGCTTAAATAAATAGCTGTAACAGACCCGAAACTGAATTCCTGATTTCCCCCCTTTACCTGCTCCATAGCCTGTACTCCCTGCCTCGCTCAAAGACTCTGTCATAATATATTAATTTTCATATTGCTGTGGTAACATTACTACAAACTAGGTGGCTTTAAAAAATACAAATTTACTCTTTTATAGTTTTGGAGGCTAGAAGCCTGAAATTAATGTCTGCAAGGCAGTGGTCTAGAGGCAAATGCGTTGCTTTGACTTTTCCAGCCTCCAGGGCTGCATACCTTGGCTGGTGTCTTCAAAGCTAGCAGTGTGGCTACTGCATCAGCCCTCACAGGGCCTCTTCCTATGTAGTCACATGTCTTCCTGCCTCCCTTTTGGAATAAGGGTATTTGTGATTGCATTTAAGGCTCACCCCCAGAATGCAGGGTAACTCCCCATTTACAAATTGTTAATCACAGCTGCCAAGTCCCTTTTGCTGTATAAGGTGACAGTCCTAGGTTCTGGGAATTAAGATGTGGATAGCTCACCATAAACAGTAAATGGCATCACCCTTCTACAGGTGCTTCAAAGCTGATTCTGCTTTCTCAAAACCTATATTCCAGCCAGCAAAAAATCTGTTTAAAAAATATATCAAGAATGTGATCACTTCTTACCATTTCCACTGCTGTCATCATTTCTTGCCTGGATTATATCAACTGACAACATCTCTGCTTTATCTTCCAGTCATTCTTAACAGAGCAGCCAGATTGACTCTTTAAAATCTCAGTGAGATTATGTCACACCCCTGATTAAAACGCTTCTGTGGCTTTCTGTCTCACTGGCCTTTGTCAAGCCCTGACTTGGCCCCACTTGGCCCCACAGGCCTTCCCTCTACTCCCAGAGTGCGATCCCACATGGCATTTGGATCTCTGGTTCTGTTCACCTCTAGAGTGAGGGCCAATTTAAAATAGGCTTCCAATTCTTCTGTCCATTTAGCCAGTAAATAGCTCTTACTATGTAAAGATCCCTCAAATTCTGATTTATGGTCTGTCTCCTTGTCTAGAATATTATAGGACTTCATTGCTCATTCATGGCTATTTTCCAAGAACCTAGAACAGTGCTGGGTACAGAGTAGGCAATAAAACTTGAGGAATAGTTACACATTAATCTTCTTTGTCTCTCCTCCTACCCCAAGTCTGACCATCTCTCGTAGGAACTGGAGGTGCACAGAAAGCAAGGAAGGATGCGCCCAGCTGCACCCAGAACCGGAAGTACCTCTCCCTCCCTTGGGAGATGTACCTGTAGGACTTTCTGGGCTTGCACGTCGACCACGAGGACTCTGCTCAGTGTCGGCTGGGCCACGTAGATGTACCGGTGCCTGACGTTCACCGCCGATGCCCACTGGCACGGCTGGGTGACATTTTCTCCCCCGTGAGGACAGATTTCTTCCTGTAAAGGAGATAAGCTGCCGTATAGCCTCCTTATCGCCTGCCCCCTGCCCTCTCTGGGTGCCCTCTCCCCTGGCCCTCCTCTGTCGCTTTCTTCCCTCTCTCAGAATCCTTTGGAGCCACAGAGTGTGACACATGAACCACCCCACATCACCGCTCTCCCAGAAGGGACTCTCCCTTGGCGTTTAGGTCCCAGGCTGCTTCTCACTTAGCCTGCCTGTCATCTTTTCCCCTCCTGGGGCTGTGACCCCCTTAGCGGTCCTCTCTGAAGCCTTCTGCTCTTCGGGGCTACCTTCTCCCTGTACTCACCCCATCATCTAAACAGTTCTGTGCGTGGCCAGACATGGGACGGGCTGCCTGCACTCTTCTCTGCCTCCTCTCCTCCCTCTCGCTCCCGCACCCTCCGGCTTTAGTCCTCACCACAGAGCCGGCGGCGTTCTCACCGAAGTCAGCACTGACTTCTCAGTTATTAAGCCCAGCCTCCGCCATCGTTTTATGAGAACTTGGGGTACCGTCAGGTGCAGTGCTGACTATTCCTCGGCCCTCGGCCCTGCATGCTACCCCAGCAGCTGATCCTTCTCTGTTGCTCGGTCCTGCTTGGGAGTGCTCAGAATTCATTCCTGGATGGCATTTCTCTCCAAAATCCACTCTTTTTGTTAATCTTATCCGAACCAATGGTTTTAAATGCAGTCTACATGCTTACAGCTCCCACATTTATGTGTTTAGCTCAGGCCTTTTCTCTCAACTCCAGACCTGTAAAGCCAATGACCTAGCTCTACGAGGCTGGTTAATGGGCCAAGTCCAAAATCCACTTTTAACCTTACCTCCCAATCCTGCTCAATCCATTCCAAAAAAGGCAGCCCCACTGTCTGCCTTCCTCCGACCAAGAGCCCTGAGGCTGTCCTTGACTCCTCTTCACCGTCTCCCACCGCCCTCGCCCGGTACATCCGCACTCACTTCAGCTTCCCCTTCAGACCCACTGGGAACGGGCCTTTCCTCGCCACCTCCCCCTCTTCTCGCCCTGGCTGGAGCCCCAGTAGCTGCCGCCTGAGGAACCGCTGTGCATCCAGCCTGTGCTCCGTGATTCTCCTCTCTGCTCTCCCTCCTGCCCTGGGGCCTGTGCATCGGCTGTTCCCTTGGCTGGGAAGGCTCTCGCTCACATAGATACTTGCTTTCGTCCCTCATGTCCTTCAGGTCTCTGCTTAAGTGTCCCCCGCCTGAGAGGCCCTCCCTGACTGCGCCCAACTTAGCACCCAGCCCTCCCCCCTCCCCCTGCTGCATGTGTCAGTTACTGCTGGACTCTACATTTGCTTACCTCTGTCTGCATCCTTTCCTCTTTCCCTAGCGTGTAAGCTCCTTGCCACCAGGCTTTTTGTCTGTTCACTGCTATATCCTTATTCTTAGCCCCTAGTAAAGTGCCCAGTACAGGAGTGGTGCTTAAAATATATTCGTTGAATGAATTAATGAGTGAAAAAGGCAACCTTTTCCTTTGTTTTCTAAGTTACACGTTCTCATGTTTTTCCTCGGGATTCTGGCCCAGCTCTGTCTCCATCTTCTTTGTGGTTCCTCTTGGTCTGCCTGTCCCTTAACTGCTGGTGAGCCCCAGGGTCCTGTTCCAGGTGCCCAACTCAAGCCCCTGGCCACCCCGGCTCTAGCCAGCACTCCTGTGCCGGTGGCTCTCAGATATGTCTGGCTCAGCACCACCTTCTCCATTCCCACTGGGTCCTCTCACACCTGTGCCTCCGCCGGGCACACCTGGACCACTCCTCCCCTCTCTGGCTGCTCCTCCCTCTGGGGCCTCAGCAGCCCCTGGCCAGCCAAGTCCAAAGCATGACCGCCGTCTTTGACTCTTCCTTCTCCCATGCAGCTCACCGCGAACAAGTCATCCAGGACCACTGAGACTACGTCTAAATCTCTGAGCTCATCTGCTTTCCGTCTGCACCCCACATTTTTTCTAAATGACTGCAGTAGCTTTGAAACAGGGCTTTCTCCTTTTACCTCCCTTAGCACTTTAGAAAGAAGGTCATTACACTGCCACCCTCCCAGAGTGGTCCAGGCCTTTTCTAGATGAGGAAACTGCTATATGGGGCTGCCTGCAGCTCACGGTGGTTGTGGATTGCCTGGAATGCCTTCAGGACCTCTCTCACTGTGTCTTGTTCTAACTTCTTAGGAAAGTTGAATCCTGGTTGGGGTTTGAGAGATTTCCTTCAAGCAATGGTTAGGTTATTGCAAATTTATGAGAAACTAGTGCCAGTGTGATGGGATGCAATTATTTAAGCCTAACTAACTGCTAGAAGTTAACTAGGATCACTCCTGAACTCATGGCTGTTATGTGGGGAGGTGGGCGTGGGGGCGAACTCATCAGAGATAACAGTGCTAAAAAATGTTGAATTCAAATGAAATAGCCAGGAAAACAGCTATTCCCAAGCTACAAATGTGAGAAATAAAAACAGCCAGCACAGCAGTGCAGCCAGCTTGTTTTAGAAACTCGCCTGGGCTGAGCCCGCTTCCTCCATGAGCTCCAAGCCTGTCACTGTTCACTGTGCATCCCCAAGGCGACGGCGGGTATGGCCTTCAGATGACTCTGCATGAATGTCATAGTTCTGCCATCGAGTAGCTGGGGTTCAGTAGAAGAGGCCACACCTCATGCAAGAAACTACAGCACAAGGCTAAGTAGGGTCCCGGTGGGAGGGACAGCGATGTGGGGTGGGGTGGGGAAGCACCGCCTGGGGGATGCCTCCTGACAGCTGGGACTTGAGGGCCAGAAGGGCTTTCCTGGATCTGCTACCAGCTCGTGTCACTCCCTCTGTCCACTGCGTGTCACACTGCCACTTTCTACTTGTCTTCATGCTTTGTCCATAGCACCTCCGACACTCGGGGTGTTCACATGCTTTATGCTTTCTCCTCTGGTTCCTTGTGGGGGATGGGGGCACTGAGGACCTCCAAACTCACCGCTTATAAAGGTAGAGTACCCCTGCCTTCTGCCAACTTGGCCTTCCTTGGGTTCTGTGGCCCATGTCGTCCAGGCTGCTTTTCAGCTACTTCTTTTGCCTGCCAGGGAGCCCAGGCCGCTCCAGCTCACCATTGCCGGTTCCCCTGCTGGCCTCCGGAGGTTCCTGTGCATATGTCCTGGGGGCACCTCGTAGGCCAACTCGGCGAATCATAGGCCAACCTCATCTGCTTGACAGAGAGTCTGTCTCCTGGCGTCCCCTGCCCCGGCATGTGGCGCACAGCTTGTAGAGCCTCCGCTGCCTCTCCCCCTCCCATGTGAAGGGCACTCTCCTCTTCCTGGAGACACTGGTTACCCTTCTGCCCCTTGCTGATCCTACCTGTTGGCGACTCTAAAATATATTCAATCCTCCCCATTCCCTCTGCCACCAGCTTAACCCAGGTCACCACTGATTCTCACCTGGATGATCACAAGTCTCTTCACTGACCTCTGTGCTGCTGGCCCAGCCCTTCTGGTCGCTGCCCTCACTGAGGTCCTGTGTGTGTCCTAAAGCAACCTGCTCCTGGCTGTCCTCCACTTAAACCCTTCACTGGTTCCCAGAGCTTCTGAACTCCATCTTGAACCCTTAGTTCCATCCTAACTGAGGCCCTCCTACATCCATTCTTCCCTCCAGGCCTATAGAATATTTGCAGTTCCCTGCACATGACATGATGTTTTAGGCCGCTGTTCTCCACATTCATGGCATTTCCTCTAGAAACCCATCATCAGTTCTTACTCATTCTTTAAAACTGAGCCCAGGAGCCGTCTCTGACTTTGTCCCATCTGGGTCTGAAAAGGCCCCTCCTCCACATTTCCAGTGCAGCCTGCCTGTGCTTCCACCACCTCCTGTTTGGCGCTGTCTCTTCCCAAGGCTGTCTGCATTTGACTGTGAACTTGCGGAGGCCAGGAAGCCACCTCTACACCCTGGGCTTCCCCTCAGGCTCAGTGTGCTGAAGTGGCTGCTAGAGGAAGGAATGAGCTTAAACCCCCAGCCTTGTAGGCCCTTCCCTCGCCACAGAACACATCTGGAACCACACTTCAATGAGCAGGTAGGACTTAAGAGGCCAAGCAGCACACGGGGCAAGCCTGCCTTTCGGGACTTCCGTGTGTGACAGAGAAGCGCTCCAGGCGCAGGTACGTACGTAGCTCATGAAGATCTTCTCCGTGGGTTTGAGGTGCCGCTGGATCTCACAGTCCACAGGATGAAGGATGACGATGCCGTCGTCAGAGAAGATGTAGAACATGTTCCCCACGCTGAGGCCTGGGTGGGGCAAACACAGCATGTGGATGCCCAGCTGTGCGGGGGGGGCCCACGTGGGATCTCTGGCACAGGTGAAACCTGCAGCTTATGAGCATCTGGCTCAGGCACAAAGTGCAAGTCCTGGTCAAGGTGGGGTGAGCTGAGCCGAGCAGGTGGGGTGTGGGGAGGACACGGAGAGGAATCACCCAAGGGCTGTGGATCAGCAGGCACATCAAGGGCTCTGCAATACCCAGGCTGTCCTCGCAGCTCCAAGACAGGCACATCTGCCCGAGGGCATCTAGGGCTGGCCACCAGCACAAGTTTTCAAATAAACCACAGCCTTAGCTTTGACATAACTTGTTCTTCCCTGTTCTGAAAGGCAAAGCCTCACCTGGTCGTTTGTGGTCAACTAGTCAAACCAGAATGGATCAGATGATGCCAAAAAGCAAAGTCTCTTATTTCATTTTTAAACACATTTATGTATAGTGCCGCTCCTGTGAGCATTGGGCTCTACTACCGTGGCTGGTTCTCCTTCATCCAGATCCAGTCCTGGCCTGTCTGTGCTGGCAAACCCTCCTTCAGGAAATCTTGCTCCAGCCTCCGCCCCACTGGGTTCTCTGGGGCGGCCCCACCGCAGGCAATAGGGCCCGGAGCCTGGCTGCACTGCCTGCTCGCTCCCTCCTGCGCCCAGGGCTGCAGCGACTGGGAGAAGAGAAGGGGCCTTGGGGACCAGCTGGTTCAGCCTCCTTGTTTTAAAGACCAAGAAACTGAGGCCCAAGGAGGGGAAGGGGCCTGATGGAGGCCACCTGCCCTTGTGCCAGAGCTGGGCTGACCTGGATGCCTGCTCTGGGGCCTGCCCCTCACCTGCTTCCCCATTAAAGGTGAATTCAGCCCACAGGCAGGTTCTCCCTCCTCCCTCCTTTCATTTCTTTTGAAGGTAGAGCATTAAAAAGATTTCGATACATTCTAAGAAAATTAAATATGTAAAACACTGGCTTTTTCCTAGCATGCTGGAAAACTGGTGTACTGATTTAATTGACTGAATAAGTTTTCAGCGAGTTAGAAAACAAACCAAGCCAACAGGAACCGCCGTTCTACTTTGTTCCAGTGACTCTGCGGGCAGGTTTCTGGGCCCTGAGCCCTTGGTGACTGGGAGGCACCAGTGCTGTGGCTCCGTGGGGACAGAGACCCCTGACTCCATGACACAGCCTCAGCTGCCCCCTGCTCTGCGCTGAGAGCAGCTCGGGGTGGGAGGGCTCCTGTGCCCATGTGAGCAGCTTATGCAGAAGCAGGTACTCCTGAAGCACTCTGTGCAGGCCCCAGGGGGCCCCTGGGGGTGCTGGGCAGTCTGTCCGAGAGCCAGATGAAATGGGCTGCCCATGTCCCTAATCCCACAGCATCCCAAAGTTGGACTGGGGCATTCTGGCCTGTGTTTGCTCTGACCCCATCTCTCTGGCCTCCAGCAGGACCTCGTCTTCTGGAAAACTCACCTGGAAAAGTTCTCTCACTGAAACCGAGGGGCCAGGGGAACTCAAAGACCCTGCAAAACCACAGACCCCAGGAACAGCCTCCAGGGGCTTCTTGGAAAATGGATCAATAGAAGAACCAACCTAAGAGCGAAACTGTAATGGAATCCACATGGGGCTTGCAGCTGTAACTACACTTCGGATTGAGCACAGTGGCTTGCTCACAGTCAGCAATGGAATATGAGGCTCAACAAATAGTTGCTCAGCAAATAACTAACTGCACAGGAGACCCAGCCTCTGGGAGGTTCTGTCTGAGTTTAGCTTCTGCTAAGGGGGCCTACAGGAGCTCCCTTTGCTTGTGTGCAGTCTTGGCGCCTCACTCGCATGTGTGGGAGTGCCCTGTGGCCTGCATGTTTTAACATGAAGAGTATAAGTGGCTAGCTGTCCAGGCATGATGGGATTTGTCCAATATGAATGTAGTACCTGCCAGCCAGAAGCCCCCAGGCAGCTGTGGGTCTTAAGTTGGACCTCTATAGCTGCAATTCACACCCCCCGCCCCACCGGGCCCCGGCATTCTTTGTAGGGCTCCACTTTTGAAACCTGAGTCCCTTTGAGTAAACTTACCTTAGAAATACACCACCTCTCAAAGGTACAGAGCAAATACTCTGTGTGTACAGTGGCTTAGGAGCCAGTTTCAAGCAGCATCAACGGACAACTGTCCCTGACTAGTGACTGTTACTATGACTGCTAAGCAGTCCTAAAGCCTATTGGCAGCAAAATTCCTCATTTTCTAGGCTCTGCCTCTGTTTTGCTCCCAGATTTACTGTGCACTTTAGTGCCTGATGTTCAGGGGGTAGTTCTGCCCATGTGCACGCAAGTACACGCTAGGCTGCAGGTAATACCATGTTAAGTTCTTGAGGAAGAGAAAAGGCAGGAAATATGCATATTTTTAAAGAGGGAGATTTAGTGCATAACCCCGAAGTCACATGGCACTTCTGCTGCTTGTCATACTCCTCTGGTGCCTGTCCAGCTGGAGAGTAAGTGACCACAAGGTGACTGAACTCTGCTCTGATGGAGGGCTTCAGAGTTAGGGCTGGGCCATGGATGCACAAGGATCCCAAACACAGTCAGGCTCCAGAACCCAGCTCCCACTTGTGTCTGCTATTCTGTGAACCATATGAAATTGTCAGTATTGGACCATTTTTGATGCATAAAAGTGGCAGTTTTGTGTGGCTCAACAACTAAATATTGTTTCACACATGCAAATTTAAAAAACCTGTTCATTAAAAAATATACATGTAAATACACATTTACAGAAATGATGGTAGATTTTTTTTCTTCTGCATTTCCTCAGGGTATACACCACAGCTCCTGGAAAGATGTTGAAGGCCCAGATCTGACCAGGAATCCCTGCCGACTAGTCTGCTTCAGCAGACGTTTCAAACAGCTTTAAATGGAAACTTTCCATTTTTAAATTTGAATGGACTAGTGTCCATTAAAGACACTCATAGGTGTTGAATCTGTTTCTCAGTGTGTGCCACTTGAGCTTGACACTGACCTCCCCCACCCCATCCAGTCTGGCACGTGGGCCCCTCTTGTGGGGACTGCTTGGTGTCTGGAAAAGCTGATGGTGGCTCATGAAAAGATGGCCCATCATGGAACCACAAACCCAGGTGACCACAGGCATGACACACAACAAGTGAGCTTGGTACCTTCCTCTCGCCAAAGAATGTTTGCAACTGCAGCATCAGAAAATTGGAAGCAGGAACATGATCAGGGAAGGAACAAAAGAAGAAAGCAGTGTCAGAACTTTCACTGGACTGAGTCAGTCTCTGAACATATTGGTACCGAGTCCATCATATATAGAATCTGCACCACTCACTGCCCCAGCAAGAGTCCTCGGGGGAACTCTGGACATGGGAATGCTTCCGGGTCTCAGGACCCTTGTGATTCCTAATGAATCTTTGAAATCAGGTCCAAGGATCACAAAAGCTAGTGAGATTTTTCCACTTTTATAGATGATAAAGAGGGAGCAACATCTCTCCCAGACCTCCTGGGTTCAGAAGCACACTGGTTTTCAACTAGGATTCTCCTAGGAAGACCATCTTGAAATACTTCTGATTATTAAGACTCAGCTTAGAGTCTTTGGCCACCAGGTCCAACACCCATGTTCATGATCCCGTGAATCTGCAGACCCACGTGGGGAAGAGTGGCTGCAAGGGAGGGCACACTTAGCACGCCAGGTGGGCTACAGTCCCCAGGGCAAAGGTACATGCGCCTGTGTGCACAGGCCAGTTCCTGGGCGCTGGTGGGACAGCAGCACCGACAGTATGAGGAATTCGGTGGTTGAGGAGCAGAGGTTTTAGTCATATAGTAAATAGGAAGCAGAACTGGGGCCAGGAGATGCAGCCCTCCCTGGGGTCCTGGGCTCTGTCTGCTGTCTAGAAAGCTTCCCTGTGTATATTCCCAAAGTAATCAAGGTTGCCAAAAAGGTTTGCTCACTTCTGGGCAACCTCTGTCACAGTTTGTGTGCAGGACACGGGGTTTGGCAGCTGTGGCCTTGGTCAGTTAGTTTCCTCCCACCTGACAACCCCCAGCCAGCTCCATGAGGAGCTCAAAGAGTAGAGTGGACTCACGGGTCTTTCTAGCTGAGTCTTCAATGAAGAGTGAGGAAATATCTTCATCCACACCCACTTCATTCTTGGCGATGCAGGTATACGCCCCTGTGTCTTCATACCGAACACTACTGATGTAGAGTTCGCTCCCATTGGCTGTAGAAAGGACAGCGCTCTGGGTGGTCTGCTCAGCGGGGACCCCAACTCCCTCCTTCCCCTCTCCCTTTTGTTGAGAATGCAGACTATAAACACAGCCCCTCAGCAGGACTAAGGGTAGCCAACATCCCTAATCCACACCCAGGAAGGCCAGGAACAGCTGAAATGAAGTGAGGGTCACCCGGGGCCTGATAGCTTCGGAGCTGTCATTGAGCTCACAAAACCTGTAAGACGTGTGTGAGCCTGGGTAACAGGAAAATGTGGGGAGATATTCATTCATTCCCAGCTCATCTGACTTAGAAACAGATCATGCCTCGCATTTCCATTCCTGGGGAAAGTGCCAGCTTGAACATGGTGGGAATAGCACAGAGACACTGAGGGTGGTTCTTACCTAAAAGGGAGAGCTGTTTTGACATCTGAGTTGAGACATCCATGCCGTTTTTCAGCCAAGTGATTCTGGGCATAGGAATGCCCTCTGCATGGCATCTCAGAGTGGCCGCCACCCCAGGCTCCTGTGCCTGGGTCTCTGGGTAGACGCGGATGACTGGTGGTGCTGTGGGTGAGAGTCAGTGCTGGTAAGAGAAGGCCCTCACCTGGCCTCCAGCCCTGAGACCCTGCTTCAGAGGGGTGAACTGAGGCAGCTCTGGAGTTCTCTTTGCAACCAGGTTAAAATCATCCTGTTCAGCAACTCAAGCCCTAAGAGAAAGGGCTATAAAATGGATTGCAGGCAATAAACATGTCAGGCTTTGTACCCTGTAATTCGTGGCTTTCATCATCATTCTAAATATGATCAGAAAGACATCCAAATATTTAATGCTGTTCAACTGCTACACATAAAGAGCAACAGCTGCTGAAATTTATTTTTGAATGAATAAAATTCAGATATATTATTTCCGTTATGGGAAAGCCATTGGACAGAGCTTAATTTCTTGCATGGAGTGCTTCACAAAGCACTTTTGGGCACTGACTGGCAGGGATATTAATTATATTATTGCTCTGGGGAAGCTCATTGATTTTCCAGTGGGTCATTGTTATTTCTCCACTTCTCACCCCCTGCAATGTGGGTGACAGGCAAGGTTGTGCTGCTTGGCTCTTTAATCAGTCATGGGAACTGGCGATCAAGTTCAGGGCTGGGGATGTGACCTGGCCCACTCATCAGATGACCATGAGTGGGCCGGACATCTGCACCCTCCATAGAGCTCTGGCTTTTCTTGCATGGGCTGTCTGTGGAGGCGTGAATACTGTCTGGAGGATCTTCCCTCCTACCCCAGATTTGGGCCTGGGAAATAAAATAATTGTCATTTTCAATGGAATTAAGGGATCTTACTTATTTATACATTTTGCTCTATATTTCCAAAAGGGATTTGAGAGAGCTTATGTAAAGGTACCTGGATATTGAAAACATCACACATTGTGGAAAGATGGGAGATGGATTCTTCCTGAAGCAGGTCACTACATTTTCCCAGTTACCTGAAAGCTCCTATTGTCTAGAAAAAGAAAGTGTCCCAGTGCTTTGGGAGAGCGATGTTTCTTGGGACGAGAAGAGGAACAAATTGATGCTTATGTAGAACAAAGAGATGGTATTGATCCTGGAACCTAAGCAAGATTTCCAGTGGGTGTTTAGGTGGGCCGAGGACAGGAGACAAACTCCATGACTTCATTGTGAGAAACGGGCTCTGTAACTCATCAAAGCTTCTCAGGAGGCTGCCAGTAACCTGATCAACCCAATCTGAGTTTAACATCTTTCCTCCGCTTGACCTATTAGCAAAGCTGAGGGCTGAGCAGAAAGCTGTGCACTGAGAAGAAAGTGGGCAACTGGCCAAGTGTATGAACCCACCTTCAGAATGGCCTAGGCTTGTTTCCGTAAAATAAGCTTTAATGTATCTTATGATAAGCCACACAGAGACCCAATGCCAATAATATCGGAGGCATTTCTCCAGTTTCTCTTTGCAGTTCTGGGGGAGAGTTCCAGGAAATGGCAGAAGGGCCTTGTCACATAACAGGCCACTGAGGAAGGAGGTGGCAAATGCGGCTTTTGCTAAGGTATCTTTAGAGGGCTGCTTAGAAGTGGATCTCTCCTCTCTGCCTCCCCTTGGTTCAAAGAGGAAAGAAATAGTAACTTATCTAGGAAATTTCCCTACACCCTGAATTTGCTAGAGGTAAGAAGGAGGTTCAAGTTGAATATAGTAGTTTTGGCCAGGGGGCTGTAATTCAAGAGCACAGAGATAGAAATGGGAGGCCTAAGATCGCTGGATTGGTGGGGAGTTGGAGAAGGCAGTAGAGCACCCAGGGTGGCCGGGACCTGGGAGTTAATAAACTTGGGATTTTGGTAGATCACCATTTATTTATACAAGCTTGTCTAGCAACCACAAAGTAAACTTAAAGAAGGTCAGGGAAGACCCAATAGAGATAGCAGAAAAGAATGAATCAATTAGCCAAACAAGAGAACTGATAAATAAATCTAAGACCTGGCTGTTCAAGACAATCAATAAATTAGCCTATGGAGACTACAAAAACAGGAACAAAATTCAAAATTTAGGGGATGCAGTAAAAGTTCTAGAAGGAATTTTATAGTGATACAGGCCTACCTCAAGAAACAAGAAAAATCTCCCATAAGCTAACTTTATGCCTAAAGGAACTAGAAAAAGAACAAAGCCTGAGTTAGTAGAAGGAAGGAAATAATAAAGATCAAAATGGAAATAAGGGAAATAGAGAGTAAGAAAACAATAGGAAAAAAACCAATTAAAACTAACAGCTGGTTCTCTGAAAATATAAACAAAATTGAAAAGCTTTTAGCCGGACTCATCAAAAAAGGAAGAGGGATCAAAATCGGAAATGAAAAAAGTTACAGCTGACACCACAGAAATACAAAGGATTATAAAAGAATTCTATGAAAAATTATATGCCAACAAATTGGACATCCTAGAAAAAAATGGATAAATTCCTAGAAACTTAGAATCTTTCAAGACTGAATCATGAAGAAATAAAAAGTCTGAACAGAGCAATTACTAGTAACAAACTCAAATTAGTAATCAAATATATCTCCAACAAACAGAAGTCCAGGACCAGATGTCTGTGAATTCTACCAAATATTTAAAGAAGAGCTAATACTTATCATTGTCAAACTATTAAAAAAAAAAAGAGGAAGGAATGCTTTCGAATTCATTCTAGGAGGATGGAGCAAGGATTACCAAAGCTGTATAAAGGCACTACAAAAAAAATAAATAAATAAAAAATCACTGACCAATGTCCTTGATGAACATAAATGCAAAAATCCTCAACAAAATATTAGCAAACAGAATTCAAAAATCCATTAGAAGAATCATGTGGTGGTGATAATCATGTGGGATTTATTCCAGGGATGCAAGGATGATTCAATGTCCACAAATCAATGGGATACACCACTAAAAAAGGAAGGCTAAAAACCATATGATCATCTCAATAGATGCAGGAAAAGCATGTGACAAGATTCAACATCCATTCATGATAAAAATTCTCAACAAAGTGGGCAAGAGGGAATATGCCTCAATATAGTAAGATGATATATTACAAACCCAAAGCTAACATAATAATGGCAAAAAGCTGAAAGGTTTTCTTCTAAGATCAGGAACAGGCAAGTATGTTCACTCTCACCACTTTTATTCAACATAGTACTGGAAGTCCTAGCTACAGCAATTAGACAAGAAAAAGAAATAAGAGGCATTCAAATTGGTAAAGAAGTAAAATTGTCACTATTTGCAGATGAAATGATAATATATACAGAAAACCCTAAAGATGTCACCAAAAAACTATTAGAACTAATCAATGAATTCAGTGAAGTTGCAGGAAATAAAACTTGTTTTATAAACTAAAAATGAACTAGAAGAAAGGAATTACAAATCCCATTTGCTGCTGCACCAAAAAGAATAAAATACCTAGGAATAAATTTAACCAGGAGTTGAAAGACCTGCATTCTGAAAACTGTTAAGATGTGGATGAAAGCAACTGAAGGTGACACAACTAAATAGAAAGATATACCATGCTCATAGATAGGAAGAATTAATATTGTTAAAATGTCCACACTATCCAAAGCAATCTACAGATTCAGTGCAATCTCTATCAAAATACCAACATTTTTTACAGAAGAACAAATCCTAAAGTTTGTATAGAATCACAAAAGACTGTGAATGGCCAAAACAATCTTGAGAAAGAAGAACAAAGTTGGCAGTACCACACTCCCTGACTTCAAGCCATACTACAAAGCTGTAATAATCAAAATGGTATGGTACAGGAACAAAAATAGGTAATAGATCAATGGAACAGAATAGAGAGCCCAGAAATAAACCTCATGCTTATATGGTTGATTCATATGTAACAAAGGAGGCGAGAATAAACAATAGGGAAATAACAGCCTCTTCAATAAATGGTGTTGGGAAAACTGGCAGCTACAAGTAAAAGAATGAAACTGGACCACTATCTTAAACAATATTAAAAAATAACTTCAAATTGAATTAAAGACTTGAATGTACGACCTGAAACCATAAAACTCCTAGAAGAAAACATGGACAGTAAGCTCTGGGGCATCAATCTTAGCATATTTTTTTTGGACACTTTTTTTCAGGAAAGGGCAACAAAAACTGTTATAAAAGGGATTACATCAAACTAAAAAGGTTTTACACAGTAAAGAAAACCATCAACAAAATTAAAAGGCAACCTGCATGGGATAAAATATTTGCAAATCATACTGATAAGGGGTTAATTAAAAAAAACTTACACAACTTATCAACCCCCCCCTCCCCAATAACCTGATTAAAAACTTGGCAGAGGACTTGAACAGACATTTTTTCCAAAGGAGACTTACAGATGGCCAACAGGCACATGAAAAGATGCGCAACATCACTTCTCAGGGAAATGCAAATCAAAACACAATGAAACATCACCTCACACCTGTCAGAATGGCTAGTATCAAAAAGACAAGAAATAACAGTGTTGGCAAAGATGTGGAGAAGAGAGAACCCATGGGCACTGTTGGTGGGAATGTAAACTGGTGCAGCCACTATGGAAAACAGTATGGAGGTTCCTCAAACAATTAAAAATAGAATTACCACATGATCCAATAATTCCACTTCTGGGTATTTATCCACAGAAAATGAAAGCATGAGTCTGAAGAAATATATGTATCCAATGTTCACTGAAGAAACACTTAGAATAGCCAAGACTTGGAAGTAACCCAAATGTCCATCAGTAGATGAATAAAGATATGGTATATATACACAAAGTAATATTACCCATAAAAAAATGAAATCTTACCATCTGTGACAATATGGATAGGCCTTGGAGGTGTTATGCTAAGTGAAAAAGATCAGACAGACAAATACCATATGATTTCACTAATATGTGTAAAATCTAAAAAGCAAAACAAATGGACAAACAAAAGAAACAGTCATAGATCTAGGAAACAAACTTGGTTACCAGAAGGGGGAGCACGATTGGGGGATGGACAAAACAGATGAAGGAGTTTAAGAGATACAAACTCGCAGCTGTAAAATAAACAAGTCAGCTCAATGCAATGTACACCATAGGGAATATAGTCAATAACAGTCTAATAACTTTGAATGGTAATGTATGGTAACTAATCTTATTGTGGGGATCATTTTGTAATGTATAAAAATATTGAATCACTATGATGTACAACAGAAACTAATAGAATATTGAATGTCAATTATACTTCAATAAAAAAAGAAAACTTTAAAGCATTGATGTGGAATCCAGAGAATATTTTAAAAATTTAAAGCACTACTTTTCAGTCATGTCAGATGAATAAATCTAGAGATCTTCTGTATAGCATAGGGCCTATAGTCAGCAATACTGTACTGTGCACAATAGATTAAATAATAACAGAATAAAAAATCTGTTAAAATGGTAGATCCCATATTAAATGTTCTAATCACAGATAAAAATGAACAAAAAAGAAAATCAAAAGGACAGAAACTTCTGAAGGTGATGGATATGTCTGCTGTCGTGACTGTAATGATGTTATCATGGCTGCATGCATGTGTCCAAACTCATCAGATTGTATACATTAAATACATGTAGTTCTTTGTTTATTAATTTTACCTTAATAAAGCTGTTTAAAAAAAGTGCTACTAACCTAAAAGTCACCCTAACTATAATCTCATAAGAAACTTCTTTCATAAATTTAAGGAACAGATAATTCCTAAAGCATACAACAGAGATGCTCCAAATTACATCGTAAAGCTAATATAATTTGTCGGAGAGCACAAAAAAGATGACTAGGAACTTAACTCAGGAAATAACCCAAGTGAAACATTAGCAAATCACATCTAGCAGGGTATTAGAAGAACATAGCTGTGATCAAGTATAATGTTTTAATGGCTAAGTATTAGGAAACCTATTATTAATCATAGCCAAAATCAAAGGCAGTCAACAGAGAAAAACCATCTAATTCTCTTGGTAGACACTGGAAGGGCTTTTGGAAAAAATTCAAAATCTGTTTCTTGGAGGAAAAAAACTCCATAAAATCGGAACAGAATGATATTTTCTTCCTACAATGAAGGATATATATATAAAAAGAAGAAACAATAGCATTTTTTTTTTCAGAATGGTGAAACATTAAGCCAGGAAAAAAGAAAAAGGATAAAGGGAAGGAAGCAATGTCAGACGCTCACCAGTATGCTGGGTGCTATTGTCAACAGAAGGTAAGAAATGAGAGGTACAGGTATTAAAAAAATGGAGAAAAATGATGTATTATCGGAATATGCTCCAGATGAGTAGTAAGTTTCGATGAGTACAGAAGGGGATCAGTACCACAATGTACAAAATTCATGGCTCACTTATATACCAGCAGTGACCAGGCAGAAAATACAGTGGACCGAAATGAAGGAAACTGTACAATTTCACTGAAGACATAAGACTTGAGTAATTGGAAAGATATGATCTTGGATAGGAAGATTTATTGTTAAGAAACAAAATTAAGTCATGTTAAATAAGTAAATTCCAACTGAAATAAATTGGTGGGGTCTTGACAAAACAATCTTAAAATGTATCTTGAAGAAAAAGTGTGCAAGAACAAATGAGGTAATTCTGAAAAAATGAGAGGGATGACTGACATTTTTCCATGCCAGATACTATAAAATATTGTAATTGCAAATGCTGGAAAGTGGGGAAGGTTAAGGTGAGGCAGGGGTGGGTGGCAGGGGTGGGGGTAGAGGGGGAGGGCTGAGGGAATCCTCATCCTCAGTCAGGCATCACATTAATGATCTTGACCGATTTTACAAAACTCAATTTTGTCAACATTTACAAGTATTATCAATTCAATATTGTGCAGCCAACATTTATTAAATGCCAGGTATTTAATTTTACAGTGTCAGGCATTATGGACAGAGCAGTGAAGACTGGCCCTGGTCCTGTCCTCATGGGCTTTCTGTCTGGGAGATGGTGACTAAATGATTAACTGCAAGTGCGGCAAGCATTAACAGAAGGGAGTTTTGGGGGCACGATGCCAGGGGTTCAGGAGGCCTTATCAGAATAGAGCAGGATCCACTTTGTCCACCCACAAAGGAAATACAGACCTTTCTTATGCGTGGGTGCTTGCCCCTTTATTGATAGTAGATTTAGGTCACTGATGGTTGGCCAGTGAACTGGGAACTCTAAACTGGTGGTGTGTAGGCTGGCCACCTCAGTGACATGGACAGTGGCCCTCCACTCTCACGCCCGCATTGGGCTCCCCGTTTCTCCTGGCTCTTTCCATAAAATGCTTTTAATTTCCTTTCTCCTGGCTCTTGCCAAAAAATGCTTTTAATTTCTATCTTGGAAAAAACCCCAAGCCTCTTTACGCCAACTTCTCCCCAAGCTGGGCCCCCTTTTCTGCTTGCGTCCACCCCGACCAGTTGTCCACACTCAGCTCTAACTACTCTCCTTGTTCCTGGTTAAGCCAGTTCCAGGTCTGCAGGCATTCCCCACCACCTGGAATCTGCTCTTCCAGGCCGTGGTGACGCCACCCCATGCTGGCGGGCCCAGTGGCCAGGCCTCTGACCTGTCTGCAGCGTTTGGCACAGCGGATCACTGTCCCCCGCCTCAGCCCCAGGACCGCACTCCTGGCTCTCCTCCCGTCTCGGTGGCCTCGCCATCTTCCTTGCTGGTGTCTCTCACCTCCCGGGCTCTCAGTCCTGCTCTGCTCGGACGTGCTCCACCTGCGCTTGCTCCTGCCCCAGGCCATTGACTTTAAATGCCGCCCGCCCTACAAGGCATCTGAAATGTGCATCTCCAGTCCAGTCTCTCCCTTCTGCTCCAAATGCAGGTCCGCAGCTGGCTGCACAACACCTCACGTTTACCACATCCCCAGGCATTCCTGCTCTTTCTCCCCCAATCCGGGGGCTGAACCCCTCCTGAGTACTCGGCCGCTCCACTCCTCCTTTGCTTGGACCATGATCCTTTGAAGGCATCCTTGGCTTTCTCACTGAGCTGACACGAACGTCACCTTGTCAGTAAGGCCTTCGCGGGCCATCTTACCTATAGTTTATCTGACTCTCCTGATCTCCTTCTGCCTCTTAACGTTCTTCGTCCTTTTCACCCTTTGGCTTGCTCCACAAGGATGGGAATTTTGGTCTATTCTGAACTGCCATGTTTTCAGTATTTATCCTGGCATGTCGGTGAAACTCAGGAATTATGTATTAAATGAACAATGTCTATGCTGAGACCTGAAAATTAAGGTGAGCTGGCAGCAAAGTGCAGGAAGAGGATTCTTCCCAAGGGAACAATCAGGGCACGGCAGGGAGTCTGGAAAGCAGGCACATGTTGGCAAAGGCAGGCTTGTGGGGGGGCCAAGTGACGAGGCCGGGAGGAGGGCCAGGCGCAGACCACGGTGCATGTGTGTGCTGTGAGTGTGCACGCACAGGCCTGCATGCATGCCTGTGGGTTCACAGGGACAGGAAGCTGCCACCACCCCCTGTGAACCTCAGACCTCCCCCGGTTTTTCCTGGGGAATGGCAAGGAGGAGGCTAAAGGAGCTTAGCCAGGCCAGCAGCGATAGAAGGGGGCGCTGCGGACGGTCCTAGGGCCTCTGGGTCTTCCCAGCCAGTGTCCTGCACAAAGGGGCCCTGTGAGGTGGAAGGCAAGCCCCAGGGCACTGAGCAGCTCCATCGACAAGCCCACCTTGCCCTGACCTCACTACTTCCCAAGGGAAAAACTGGCACAAGGACACTTACAAAAAGAAAAATAAAAAAAAGAAAAGAATCATCGTGTCGGTTTGGTGGGAGCTTCTTTTGCCTCCAGCACCAAACTGTCCTCATACGTGATGAGGCGTCTTCGGAGCCCACGGCTGGCGCAGACAGGCCGAGCCCTGAGTGAGCGCCCATCCACCTCGGGCAGGATCCAGCTTCCTGCCAGGACAGGGAGGGCAGGAGGAGAACCCTGGGCAGGGAGGCATTAAAGACCTCGTTCCCTGGGGCCCCAGCTGCATGAGGCCCCATCAGAAAAGTCCTGCATTTTCTTTGTGGGAGACAGAGAGAGGGGCTACCGTGCTAGAGTAGGGGGTGGGGCGGAGGCGCGACCCTCTGCCAGCCCCAAGGCCAAGATCCCACTGTGTTCCCTGGGCCCTGACTTCCCCTCTTTTTGTGTTAATTGTTGCACTAAAAATAATTTGAAATTAATATGTCCTGGGTAAACACATTCATTTTCCTTTCAACTTGCAAAACCGTTCAGTGAAAGCATATGAATACGCAACACAAAGCCCCATTTTCCCTGGGAAGCTTCGATCATTTCCAAGGTGAGAGGCAGCATAAATATGTCCTAAGTAAGAGGCACATTCACAAAAGTATCAAGTTGGAGTAATAACAGATTCGGGAGATTATTATTGTGTTTTGGGAATGAATCATTACTTGTCTGAACTGTGGAGAGTTGGAGGGTGTTTTTATTTTAAAGGATTAATCATTTATGTGAGGTTCTTCATCCTTTATAGGAAAGCACTGTGGGAGGTTTGCATGAAGTTGTAAATCATGTCGGTGTTTGGGCCTCATCTCTGGCTGGCCTGGTCTATGGGTAAGTTATACTAATAATTTGGGAGAGGAAGTAGGTGACTAGAAGGGTTCCCTTTAGCAGAGTCTTGGATGGAAAAGCCCCAGAAGACGGCCCAGCCTGTGTTCAGGGTCTCACCCTGGCCACAAGGATATAGGGCAGCTCCAAGGAGGACTCTGTATTTTATTCCTGGCTTGGCAAGTTTCTCTGAATCTTATTTTTGCATTTGTATAATGGGTTGGAGGCTCTCTGAGGGGCCACCAGCTCATCCCTGTTCACTAACTACAGTTAAATATGGCTTGAGACAAACCAAAATCTCCACCGTATCTGTCCCACTTTGGACTTTAAACTCCCTCTGTGACAGGCATTTTCCAAGTATTTTACACATATCATATCTCACAGGCCTACAAGGCAGGAGTTACTATTTTTATTCCTAGTTTACAGGTTAGTTCACTTGCCTAAAGACTGTGTCAGGGAAGTACCAGCACTAGGACTTGAACCCAGGTCTCCCCTGCTCAGAGGTCATGTATCGACCCTACGACAGAGGTGTTGCCAGCTTGGTCTGCACTGTGCCTCAGGTGAACAGCCCCGGCCCTGCTCAAGTTCCCAGGAGAGGGAACTCTGTCTCTTGGGCCCACAGGCCTCACATTAGCCCCCAGCACATCTGCTGTTCACTTGGCATCTTCTGAGCCCTGCAAGAGGCAGGTAACTGGCCAGGCCCTCAGTTCCTCCTTTGCCATTCCCTCCCTCCTGCTTAGCGTTGCCTCCCAAGAACACAAAGCCATTGCTTGCTGTCCAGGGAACAAGTACAGGGCAGTGACTGTAAGGCTCCCCTCCTCTGACTGAGGAGAAGGCAGCTGGAGGAGCGTCACCCACTGCCTGTGTGTCCAGGGCACTGCCTGAACTCAGGAAGCTGCAGGCCATCTGCCGGGCCAAGCGGGGACCAAACCGGACCCCCAACAGCACTGCTGGCCACCCCACCCAAGGCTGCTGCTCAGGGACATCTTTCATGCCATTGACCCATGCTCGGGATGAATGGCCAAAAGGAACAAGTGCCATAGCTGAATTTGCCGCTGCCTTCTCGTTCCTTCCTTGTGAGCCACCTTAGCATTCCTTCTGCCTTGAGCAGAACGTGCCTTCTCAGCGGACACGGTTCCTCCTGCCCGAAGGCGTTTGGCACCAAGCTGCAGCCTGCCTACCGCCTGCCTGTGCAGCCTCCCACGGCAGCCCAGCCCTCCCAGGGACCGGAGCAGCATCAGGAGTGTGTGCAGTGGTCGGCTGAGCCCCACTGGGGCTGGGTGACCACGCCACTTGGCTCACCACCTTCTGTCGTGCTGAGGGCGGTGGCTGGGACTTACAGTCACTGCCCCCGGTCCTTCATCAGATTCCCACTAGGCAGCTCTTTCTGACCAGGCCCGAGCTTAGCTCCAGGGGCAGAAATAAATGAGGCAGGGTTCCTGTCCCCTGTGCCCCGTAGTTGAGCCCACAGCAACTCAGCATGGACCTGCTGACCCCACCGGCATCCCACATCTGGATTCTCCCAACAGCAACAAGGCAATGCCCTGGTGGGAGGGCCCAGGCCGGGGCAGGTACCAAGGGTCTGGGCTTTGGAGTTAAGATCTGTTCTGCAGTTAGTAACTGTAGGGCTGGGGTCCTGGGAAAATCATTGAATGTCTCTGAGCCCCCATTTCCTCATCTGTGAAATAGGGATGGTGCAGAGTAAGTACCCAGTAGATGTTACTGCTTGTAACTGTGCCTTTGATATCCCTCCATTTGCAACATCTTTCTGTCTTTCCACACTGATAGGGCTTCTTTCCTTCCCAGTCGCACACATCAAGGTGAACTTCTGGAATACTTTGAAAGCCTCATATCTTGTTCCCTGGACAGCAGGGAACCCTAGGGAGGCCACACCAGGCCTGCTTTAGTATAGCTCCCACGAGCGAGCTCAAGTGCCAGCTCTGAGTGCCCGGGAGTCAGCCCTGTGGGCTCCGGCAGGCAGGGCCACCTTAATGGCCTTCCCTTGCTGTCACAGGAGATCAGCCATCAGAGCCAATTTAATAAGGTTGAAAACTGAACACAAAATAGAGGTCCCAGGGAGCTTTCTCTGACACTATTGATGGTCAGCTGGAAGAGAAGTCTTAGATCTCTCAGCTATTAAGCAGTGATCTCAAGCGGCCTCTGTGAATCTCAGCGGGAAGGTTTTGCTCTGTTTAGACTCCCTTGGGCCAGGAGCAGCCTGTTCAGTGGAGAGCAGGCATTGCTGGACTAGCGGGTGAGGGGGAAAGAGGGCTCCAACAGAACTCTCCAAAGCTGGCTGCATGATTTACTTTCCATCTGGTGGAAGAGCCTATTCTCTACTTGGCATCTAGCAACACCTCCTGGTGTTTGTGGGTCTGGGCCTTGCTCCTGGATTCACCCTGGGAGCGAGGGATGGCCCATCCACATCCTGAGCTCAGTCCCAGAATTCTGAGGGAACAAGGCCAAAGGGCCCTCCTAGCACCACGGACCTGCTACCTATTGCATTGAGGTGTTTAAGACCAGTCTCCTCCTGAAGCCTGAGGTGAGAACAGGCTTTCACCTGGGACTTTCTCAGCAGAGGGCTCCCCTCCCCATCTCACCAATTTGCTTTGGAGGAAATAAAGGGGACTGGGCTCACACCCTCAACTTGTGCCCTTTGTTCTTGTGAAGTGGGGACAGGATTTGATGGACTGAACTGAGGATCTGGGAATATTGGTTGATTTCCTTTCTCCAGGCTAGTCTGAGTGCCTGAGGGATCAGGGGCTAAGCATGCGGGGGTGTTTGGCAACCCATCATTCACCAGCTTTATACTCTGCACCATGTTGTGCCACTTGCCAATTTGAGATGGTAAAGCCCTCTTCACACTGCAGAGCACATGCTCTGCCCTCCGAGCGGCCCCTGCTGGTTAAGAGGCCCAGACACTGCCTGCCGGCTGCACCTTATACCAGCCTCTGTATCCCAGCCTGGGGTGTTATAACCAGGAAGCCCATGGTTATTTCTGGTGAAGAGCAGAGACTTCATTGTAGCCACAAACCCCCAAAGAATTAAGTATGTCCCAGCCCAAGAGAAATACTAATAAAATATGGCTTAGGCATGTCTGAATATAAATATCCCTAAAACATCCTCAGGATAAATGCAGAGGCAACCGAGCTCATCCAGTTGTCCTTAAATGGCTTGTCACCCTTGGTCCCAGAGGGAAGCAGCACTGAACCTTGTGATGTAATCATTCTTGGCACCTTTTGCACTTTATCTCAGAGCAGAAGCCCTGAACACTGGCTGGCACAAAGGATCTAGGGCTGCCTCGGAGCTTCCAGACTACTCCCTGATGCACACACACCCTGCTCAGCCCCACTGGGTGACAGAGGCGATGCCCAGCTGGGCTTGGCTGGGCGAGTCTAATTCCCCTGGGGTGCTGATCTGCCACGGCACTGTGATGGCTTGTTTGTTCTGATGGCTGGAGAGATCAGGTTGGCGCAGCCAGCAATGTGACACAGCGGGCAGAGCACAAGCCCTGGACCTAGAATGACACCTGCCAGATGTGATCCCAGGCACGTGGCCTTAGAGACTCACCCATAAAGTGAGTTAAAATATACCAACTGTGATGAATTATCATAAGGATTGGCCAGAATACGTGCTCAGAAAACACCAGCTATTGTAATTGTTGATGTTGTCATCAGTAGGGGCTAATGCTTCCCAGTTTCTAGGAGTCCTGGTGACACAGGGGCCTCGTGGGAGGCAAGGCAAACCTCCCAAGCCTGCTCAGGTTCTGTGCCAGCTTGGCCCAAGCTAAGACTCTGAGCCTCTTGGGGAGGGAGTTGGGAACCAGACCCTGTTGGAGGAAGCCGTGTCTCGCGGTTGGACAAATGATATGGGCACTCGCTGCCTGGAAGGGCAGTGGTTTTAGTGCCTGCTTCTCACTGGCTCTGGGAGCAGAGCTGTCACCATCAGGCACATTCTGTGGGTGCCTGCTGGGGCCTTAGCTGCTGAGCGTGACTTGTCTAAGTGACTGTAAGGATATAAAGAGCTCTGCCCAGGGCTCAGGGGCTGTGAGGCAGTGGGGGAGCCGGGAAGCAGAGACCAGCTTGCTGCTTGCAGACTTGCCCTGAGACAGACGGGACTCTAGCACTTGACCTGCCACCATGGGAATAAAGCTGGGTATAAACCCTTTTACCTACAATGTTCTGTTGTCATTTTTCAGCCTCACCGAATCCAGAGTGAACTTGCCCAGAGCTGAAACCCTGAGGCGACACAATGACTCACCCCCTTGCACCAGGATTCATTCCACCAGAGGAGGCTTTGGTGAAGCCAGACCTGGAGATTAGTTCCCAGACTTCCTTTGCCCACTGCTCCCCTTTACTTCTGAGAGACATGGGATACTGGGGGGTCAGGTAGTTAAGACAACAGGCTGTAGGAGGGAGGAGGTGGTTCTGAGCAGCATGTTGGGAATGCTTGCGAGGGGACAGCATGCACAGAGCCATTTACTAACCATTCACCTGCAGGACGTGGGTCTGGAACAGCTCCTCATGGCCGGAGGCATGGCAGGTGTAATTGCCCATGTGGATGGTGGTCACCTTGGTGATGTAGAGGGAGTCGTCCTCTCCGAAGTCCTGCATGGGACCAGGAAGACAAAGAGATTGGCCTCTCTGCTGCGTTGGCTGGCAAGTAGCCAGGAAAACAGAGACCAGTCAGTTGTGAGAGATTTGCTTACTGCCTGGCTCCTTGTTCAGCTGGAACTGCCTCAGGGCTGCACTGGCCTGGGCAGCAGGAATTCTCTCTCTTCTGTGCTGCTCGCCCAGACCTTGTATATCCATGTAAGCCCATGTTCACCTTCCCTGTGAGACCCCCTGGAACACCTTCCCCAGCAGGCTTACTCTGTTTCTAGGACCTGGGCTCACCTGCCCCTCCAATCAATCTTGCACAGGCTTGGCTGGTTTCCTGGGGTTCTAGTCTACCTGACACAACGTTCTGGAGGGAGGACCTTGTTCAGGCTCAGTAAGCTTTTTCTTAAAGGGCCAGATAGCAAATATTTTTGACTGTGTGGGCTGTAAAGTTTCTGCCAACTACTCAGCTCTGCCTTGTACCATGAAAATAGTCATCACAATACACAGATTAATTAGTATCATTATGTTTCAATGACATTTTATTTAAAAAACTAGGTGGTGGGACAGGCTTGGCCTGTGGCTGTGGTTTGCTTACCACTCACTTGGCTAGAGCCACCTCCATCACAAAGCAAGTTCAGACATCTTTCAGAGATAACCCAAGAGAAGGGAAATAGAACTCTGAGGCAAATGAGGGCAAATAACACACAGGGCAGGGACATAGGAGAGAAGCAGCAGTAGCTGATGCCAGGACACCATAAGATATGGCTCAGTAAGCCTTGTCCCTGTGACCTTTGCAGCTTCATAGTGTGGGATCCTCCTGGGCCAGGGCCTAGGGGAGGGATGGGCAGGAGAGCATTTGGCTGGTCTGAGTTCCCTGATGAGCACCTGGGCACAAAGCACTCTCCCAAGGCCTTTTAGGCAGCTGCATTCTTTTTTGCAGAACCACACACAATGCTGCCTGTGCAGGCACCAACTGCAGACACATAGAAATGGAATCACTGGGGTTTCAGGGAGACCCTGAACCAGGTTGGGTATTAGCTACCAAACATCTCAGGTGTGGTGCTTGGAGCTGATGGGAAAGAGGGGGCCCTGGCTCACTGGTGAGAAATTATTGTGTAGTGTTGGCTGGGAGGGTGATGGGAAGCCCAGCTGGGACTCAGGTTTTAGCTTGAACTCACACTGACCAAACATCCCCTCATCCCTCTGGGCACTGGTTCCTCCACATGGGAGTTGTGCACAATCCATGTGCCCTGTCTGCCTCATGGGGTGTTGGGGAGATCTGGCAAGAGAATGCATGTGTGGGGAAAATGGAAGTTCCTACTGCCGGGATCCTCACGTGACCCTAAACTACTTGATGATGTAATTGGCCTACTGCTAGGCTACTGCCTCCACACCTTAGGCAATAACCTATTATTTACATAGTCACTATGTAAAGAGCTCTGCCCAGAGGTCTGGGTGGAGGCAGAGGCAGGGGCAGAAGAGGCTTACAGACTTGCAGACTATTGGATACAGACGTGATTCCAGTGTTTGACCTATTGCTGGGGGAATAAAGCCGGGTATAAACCCTTTTACCCCAAGAACATTCTGTTGTCATTCCTTGGTCTCACTGAATCCATAGTGAACTTGCCCTGGGATGAAACCTTCAGGCAAGACAGCATGTAAATACATTTTCCAATGGTGGAAGTATGACATCCATGGAAGATACTACTTTTCTTATTATTTATTAGCAGAAAATGCAAAACCCCTCTTTATACCCTGGAGCCAACACCAGACCATCCCTCTTGCCACAGAAGCAATCAGGTGGTAGGAGGAGAGAACGCTGCCCATCATTATGGCACAAGGGTTGTCCAAGGGCAGCCACAGGGCAGCTCCTGGTCCTTGTTTGTATTCATGCTTCTGCTCCCTGAAATGCTGACTCTCTGCCTTGCTCACACCCTTGAGGGCCCAGAGCCAACCATCATGAGCCCTCTAAAGATGCTTTCTGGCTAATCAGCCCACGGAGGGAGTGCAGGCCCACTGAGGTTGGGCTGGAGCACAGAAGATTGGACGGGAGACGTGTGCCACCTGCTTTCAGTATTAGGACAAAAATTCCCAACAGCGCGCCCAGTGGAGTGAAATATTGGAGAGGGCTGCTGGAACCCTGTGAGTTTTTTTCTGAAACATTTCTCTGCTTACAAAGCCCTGTTGCTCTCACTCTGTGGAAGCTTCAATAATAAAAATGAAACACCAGATAGCTGATTTGTCCTGTGTCATAACAGAGTCATAAAGGGTTCATACCTGAGTTGCTTATGAAAAGTTAATGGTTAGTCAATTATGGGGCTGACATATTTCTAGTTTAAGCTGTTTCCTGTGTCAAAAACCAAGTCTGGAGGGAAATAGATTTTGCTTGGAGCCGCCATGGTGAGGTGGCATCTTGAAAAGAGGGCTGGGAAGCTGGGTGCAGCCCCCACCTTGGGTGGGTTCCAGGGTAGCTTCCAGACCCAAGGGCAGCACCAGAGCTGCTCACAGGGAGTCTGATACTGGGGTCCCCTGGCATTCCCCCCCCCACTATCTCCCTGAGCCTTCATATCCACAGACCATCCATGTCATAGGAGGGCACTGCACACTGGCCTTGGGTGCTGGCACCCCTCTTCTTGTTGCACCCGTGATGGAGCTGTATTACACTCATGGGGCCACAACATTCCTTGGGCTGAGAGGTGTGCCCAGCAGAGGTTCCCGCAGATCTCTGTTGATGCCCTGGTAATACCTTCAGCTCACAGCCTCCAAGGGTCTGTGTATCAGGAAGCTTTGTTTAATCCTCAGGAAAAAAAACCCTGAAAACCATAAAACAAACCCCAGTCCCACTGTGTTCCGGGTTCTTTGTGCTTGGCAACAGAGGTGCCCACCTCCTGCTTTCCCATCCTCCCAAATGTTGCCAGTCACATGGGGTTAAAAAGAGGTGGCGGCTGGTGCGGGGCAGAGAACAAGTCTTGCCCCCTGCCTCCCCACCATGCTGCACTCCTCAGGCCAGGGCACGCTGGGATTGACCAAAAAGAGGGCTCAGCTCAGAGCAGCAGGCAGAGATGGAAAAGCCCATGCCTGTAATCCCAGACTTGGCTGATGACTTTTGATGAGCCCCTAACAAAGGCATTTAACCTCTTAGTCTGTTTTTCCTCACCGCTCCTAGGAACAGAGGCATCTCTGTTAAAAATTCATTTATAAGATGCTTCCCCCACTGGTCACTTTCCTTTCAGACCCTCAAAGGACAGACTTGCCACTCAGCGAGGACCTGCAGAACTGGTCTGCTTGCCCAGAAGTCCCTGCAACCTGAAGCAATCCTTAAGTAGTGCTGAGCCCCTGGGAAGGTCTGCAATGGACAGACCTCTCCTGGCTGATCCTCAATTGCTAAGGGGTGTGGGCCAGCTCTTCAAGGGCATGGGGGGCTACTAGATGCATTACAGCTCTATTTGATCACCTAACTCATTACCAGCCTATGACTTAGACTCTGGGGAGAAATTGACTCTGTAATAAATAGAATAATGTCTCTGGGCTAAAACAATAGGCATCATAATTATAGAACAAAGTGCATGTTGTTTGCTAGAACATGAATACTGGCTACAGAAATCAAATTTACCTCATTGAATGTGGGGAAATTACTTTAAAAATTGATTTATAAGAAGCTACATAAACCTGCAATCCTTCCTCTCCTGAATGTTTTTTGAGATGTGTCTGAATACTGCTATCAATGCTTGATTGCATCTCTGTAATTGTCTTTTTATGGATGGCTCTTTTTTTTCGCTCTGATGCATAGAAATGTATTAGCAAAACTAAGGTTCCTTCCAGAAATAAACAGATGCCAGATCAGGCCATTTTTGTAGTGATGCCCATCTATCTCTGGGAAATAAACAATTCTATTGAAAGACAAAAATTTGCCTTTTAAAAAGCTATTTTCTAAGTATCTGCCCTTAATAAAGAAAGTTATTAAGTAAGACTTAAGTATTAATATTTAAACAGAGGGGAGATGGGGGGATGTTGTCAGAATGATACATGTGAGTCAGGCCTAAGTAATACGAAGATGAGCCGTCCATGCTAAATATTTAGTGACTACATGTTAAATACAGGGACTTCAGAGTGATTTCGGAGTTTAGGTTAATGATATCGTCAATGCTACAAGTTAGACTCAGTTTAGAAACATTTATTCAGAGCTTTTCCAACTCTGCCCCTCTCGGGAGCAGAATGCTTCTCAGCAGCATCTGCCCTGGCTGTCTTTGGAGAGGACAGGGTAGAGGAGAGGGTCTTTCCACCTTGCCAGTTTCACTCTGACCCCTAGAGTTCACTAACCCACATTCCACCTGCACAAACATTTGAACACCATGGAGCAAACACCAAGTGACATGCAGTGCCTTGGCGATAGCCGGCTCTCAGAGATGTCCGCACTCACGTGTCTGTTATCCAGACCAAGCAAGGACCAGGTGCATCGCTGTTGGGCACACGAGAACATCCACATGAGCGCATTTAGGGAATGTGCATGTGTGTTCCAACCTGCTGGCTGTCTACAGCTGACCTCCCTGACCCACACTGTGCTTTCCCCACTGGTCACTTTCTTCTAGATCCTCAAAGGATGTCCTTGCCACTCAGCAAGGACCTGCAGAACCAGTCTGCTTGCCCAGAGTCCTCTTAAAAGAAGTCCCTGCAAGCTGAAACAATCCCTAAGTAGTGCCGAGTCCCCAGGGAGGTCTGCAATGGACAGTCATGTACAATGTGAGCAACCCAGGCCCTGGCTGGGGAGCCACAGGTGTGAGACGAGGGGCTGTGGGGAGGGTGCCTGACTTCCCCAGGACTGCAGCGGGTGTGTAGTCACTGGCTGACTTGGGCTTATGTGGTGGGTCTCCCCCACGACCTTGAGTGTCATAGAGGAGGCACTTTCTCTGTGTACCATGAATTGTCCCCATGTGCAGCATGTGGCCTGGTGCATCACTGGCACTCAGTGTTTGCTGAATAAATGGAGGCGCTGGCCAAGTGTGATG